AGACTTAGGAATTTCATACCACAAACACAGAGAGCAGGTATGACTATGTGGAGAAACTTGCACAATTGTAAAAACATTATTTCTCAAACTAAGCAAGGGAGAGAAATCTCGGCAACTTAGAACCTGGAACCTGCAGAAGATTCCCTCCCCTCCTTATTTTCACATTCCCTAAAATCGTGTTGTCCTTGCCACTTGGCCGTGATGCTGTTCAGAACACCGTCACCTGCTCCACCGGTTGCGCCACTGAGGTCGAACATTAAATCGCATTTTTCCTAAGGCTACTCATAAGCGCACAGCCCGCCAAATGTTGAAAGGGCAATATTATTGCCATTTGTGTTAATATATAGTGGACATTTACACATTAAATGATAATATGTCACCGGGGACGGTATGGGGGGGATGGTTTTTAAGATTTTTTGAAGAAGGGGGATGCCATCCCCCCTCAACTCGAGTACTGTGTATAGGGTTGTACTGTATGTTGCTGTGTGTTTCTGTGTTTCCCTGTGATGGAATGGTGAACTGTGCGTGGTGTACCCTGACTTTCACCCATTGACTGCTGGAGATAGGCACCAGCTTTGGATTAAGTGGAAGAATATGGATGGATGACAGCAAAAACTATTCACACAGAACCAGGAGTACAAACAAAAAAAAGATCATAGCGAGTCAAAAAATATATAGAAATCTGTCAATTTATGGAAATATTCCTTCCTGCTGCTTTGTTTAGAACAATATCAGCTGATTTAATATAAATTGCTGACTTATAAAAAGGTTTCTTAGATCAAAGTTCCCACACTGTTACATTTTAAGAGTCCTGCCACTGAATAACAGAAACTTGCTGGAGACTTTCAACCTCAACATGGTTGATGAGGTTTGAATTAAGAAAGATTTTCCCAGAGGTTTTTATGAATGCTCTCAGCAGGATAGAGACTCAATTTTGATTTGTGGATTTAACTGTTGGAGATACCGGTAATAATTTTATGGAAGCAAATAATTCTTTCAGATATTACCTAATATTATTCTATGGTATGCATTTCTCAGAAGAAGAAATTACATTGAACTGCAAAGGTGAGAAATAACTGAAGTGGATGGACTGATGAATCAGCCGAGCTGATTAAATGCTACAGGTCCAGTATTTGTGATGAAGCGGGTAAAACACATCAGAGGCCATCATGAGAGAGAAACAGATGATGACTGACAGCCAGCATATTGTTTGTGACTGTGTTTGGTACTGAGATATGGCCATTAGTCAAGATGAATCTCCTTGAACCCTGGTCGGCACCAACAGGTATCCCTCTAACAGACTGCCCCCCCGCTGGTAATTACACAGCAAGGTCTGCAGCAGGTGGCACAGCATGAAGATGTATTTCCATAAATCTGCATGTGTCACTGGGACCGGCTGCAGCCTCTGGCATTCTCAGTGATTATTGCTCATACTCAATGGACAATTTGTTCAAATGTTACAAAAAAAGCACAGTCAGAAGATACGATGAATGCTCAGGATGACATCTACACAAAGCCACGAAGGTGCTTATTTACAGTGTCATGAAACTGAGACTACTGTAGAATCATCCCAGTTAAAAAAAAAAAAAAACTCTACTGTCACACTTTACCCATGCTATACAGCAACGTCATGCTGTACCAACTTACGTGTATAACGTTATAATGAAAAAATTTACAGAGCCTTCTATAGTTTCTCATGGTACAAACATAAACTTTAGTGCATCTCACTGGGATTTTGTCAGACCAAGTTTAAGTTATGGATGATTAGAAAGTGCTTTAAAACTAATCCATAGTCTGCACCTTTACAGTAGGTCTCATAGGGTTTAGCCTTAAACATTCTCTAATATCTGCAGTGTGTAACTTTTGCATCTTGTTCTTTATAAAATGACTAAGTCAGATTCTTGGATTTAAGTATATATTTTAAATACCGGTATGTCAGTCTAACACATTAATCTGCTCTGATCTAAAGCACATCCTGGCCATCACTGCAATTTATCTGGCCCTAAAGAGCCAAAGAAGCATATTATGTCATGAAATAGCCATATGTTCTTTAAGAGTGTACAAAGAGGGTAAAACTGTAAAATAAAATAAATAAAATAAAAATAACATCATGGCGGCTCCTAGTAACGCTCTCGCCAATTCCATTATAATGTAACATTCTATGCATCACACTGACAACATCAAACCAAAACATTGCATAATTGCACCATATATTTAATGCTCTGAACTTCCATATCAATGCATTTTTTGTACCATGATTTTTTTTTGTCCCATGCTGTTTACATTTGATCACTGCTGGACTTATCATGAAATATCATGATAATGTGCATAAAAAATTACAATAAAAGTTGTCTAAGTCTAAGAGTAAAGTAAAATCTTTGTAAATTGCATGATGAACTCAGACGTTTAATTAATTTCATGTCCAGATTCATTAGCTCCTCGAAGAGTCTGTTTGATCTCTGTCCATATTTGGGGTGCAGACAGGAGACATATTTACCTTGCGCCTCTCTCTTACAGTATAACGCTTGACATTAAGGGAGGCTATGATGTCTCTCTGTGCTTATCTGGTCCTGATTTTTTCCCCCCATTTTTGCAGTCCTGGGCAAGTCAGTGCTTTTCAAAGTGCTTATAGTCTGTCATTAATACATTCACAGTCTGATGGTGGTGAGCTACATTGTTTATCTTTGACTATTTGAGCTGATGTAAAGAGTCAATTTCACTGTGAGATCAATAAAGTCAATCAATCATAAAGGAACAGAGAGTGAGCTCTGATCATTTTAGTGCAGTAAAACATTTCTTTTTTTAACTATGGTGAAACAGTTTTAATTAAACAGTTTTAATTAAATTAACTAAAGACAACCTGCCGATGAAAAATATTGGATTGTATTTTGTGGTACTTGCTATTTTTACCACAAACTTTATTACCACTTTATATTCAGTTGCAGTCGCTATGAATGGCAGCAGGATATCCCCCAGAGGCTGACCGCTGCAGAGAGCTTTCAGTGGGTCTTTCCAGCACTGCTGCCCGCCATTATGGTGGAGGTCTGGCAACAACTGCATATTTTGGTAGGATCATAATCCTGATACACAGATGATGTTTTGAGGTCTACCTTCTCGTGTAAAAACATGTTAAAACTATTTCCAACTCATCAAAGTGATTAAAGCCAAGCTGCTCTCTAGCTTGTAGCTAAGGAACAGAGCAGGCGAACAACCAGAGCGCAGAGCATCAAGAGCATCGAAGCAAAATAGCAACTTGACCTGCGTTTGGCTGAGTGTCCAAATTTGGCCGTTAAAGGTTTTTGAGGCCTGGATCGCATTCTGTGTGAACACACCTTTTGGCTGCCATGCAATCAAGTAGAAGTGCCTTTCAAAAACAAATGCAACTAAGAAGGAAAAATCAAAAATGTATTAAATGTTTTTTAAGGCACGTTCAAACAAAACAAAGCAATCTAAAGAGAACATGCAAGCACTCAGCTGTGTGTGGGTGTGTGTGGCCACTAGCATGCCTGTCATTCTCCCCGTAAGCGGCAGTGAGCAGTGGGACCCCCACGACGGTGAGAGGTGTTTCTGCTGACAGGAGCATATTCAAGGTAATGGAACCACTCTGTTGTCCCAGAGCAGAGCACTAAGGCAGAACAGAGTTCTGTCTTCAACTACACGCACCACTGAACCTCCAGATGACAAAATGCCTCAGCAGCTGACCAAATCAACTACGATAAAGCTGAAAGAAAAGGAAGGAAATTGATGGAAAAACTCACATATTTGTCATTTGTTTCTGTCTAGGCACTAAAGTAAGTATTTTTAACCGCAGAAAAACTGTTTAAGCATACGCAGCACAAATAACATAGTAAACCCCTTTTAGAAGCACTGTGTCAATTTAGCTACAGAAAAAGCTAATTTAAGTTTAGGTAGAGCACATAATGTGCATTCCACTGAGGCAGGTATATTTATTCACCCTGTGGAGCTGAGGAACATGGGGGAACAATCGGGAGAACAGCAGGATGATGAAATAAAGAGGAGACGGGGTAATGAGAGAAGAACTGAGACAAGTTGGAGAATAAATGAGAGACTGCATTAACAAACAACAAATGATTCCCATTTACATATTTCCTTTACATTTCATCATATCGCACAAATAAAAAAAAAAACTAAGCAAGTTATCACATAAATAATCAGTTACTTGGCTCTGTGTTAAAAGGACTACTGTAAGTACCATGTTGATCTCAGGATAAAGACACGTCAGGCTGCCATATCTGACAAGTTGAGAGGAGCAGGCTCTTACCTAAAAAGACTCTACCGAGGATTTCTACTGCCAAATAAATGATGGTGTTTCAATGGATGCTGCTGCTAAGGCACTAAGGAGCATTAAGAAGGAAAAATAAAAGCAGATTTCCTAAATCTAAATAATTCAGAAATACGCTTCTTGACAAAAAATCATTATTTCTAAACTGTTTATTTTCTATATTTAACTTTTTTTTGATAAAAACATATGCAGTCTGCACACAGAGACAACTCAGGAGGCAGAAAATTGTCAACCCTTCGACACAGAATGTAAAATAGTGACGAGTGAAATGTGGATATAAGACACACAGCCTAAAGCTGTCTTCAGGGGAGGAACAAAAAAGAAGAACCATGTTGGAAATATCACCCACTCAAGGAGAATAATTTATAGGCAGACACAGCTTATGTTGTTGTTGCCTGATTTGCACAAAGAAGCAGTTTTATTCCGTTTTGGAGCCATGATTGATATGTATTATGGTGATGTGAAAAATAAAAGAGGCAATTTGTGAACAGACACAATCCTGACCTTGACTTGAAAGAAAAATCCCCTAAATCTCCCCAACATGGGACTTTAAAACCCACCAGTTAACAGACATAGACAGATTTCCGCAATCTTGAGCTACACACATATTCAGCTTTTAAAAGTCCAGATTTTCATCTAGAAACACATGGGATGAAATGACTGAATATCTGTGGTCTGGTTCTGGTCCTTAACTGACCTCGTAAAAGAGGATGGCCTTTCCGGAAAGGTCCAGCATACACCAACTGGTAGTTTTTGACCTGGAAGCCAGGTACGCAGCCAGCATGGGCTCCTTCTGCTTGAGCGATCTGCAACACAGGAAAAAAAAAAAACATTAGAAAATGTTCATCTTCTGCTCAAGTCTCTATTGAATACATTCAAACTGGGTTCTGGTTCTGATCTCTGAACTGAATTCGTCCTGTTGTTTCTCCGACAGCTAATTCTTATTCACAGTATACAAATTGGCATGCATTTGATGTTTGACATAATTCATGTTATAAGAGACATTCTGCTATGTGTATTTATTTATACAATCCAATTAAAGCAAGATTTTAGTTAAAAGACGAATAAGGTTGTGGTTTGATCAAAAGCTTTTAAGAACATCCCATCCTGTAAGTTCCAACGTTCACAAGTTCAGCAAGAGAAATTTGAAAAAATACTGATTTCTTTGTTTGGCTCTATAGTAAGTTACCAATGATGGGACATTATACCACCCAGGGTGGCATAATGTCTAAGGAAAGATATAAAAAATATTAAGCTTTTCCTTCCAAAGCTTTTTTTTTTTTTTTTTATGTCCGCTCAAGTGGGAATGGGTGCACCTCTCTATTACAAAGTTTATAATGAAGAACCTGGTCTGTGGTATGTTACAAAAAATGCAATTTTGTAATTTGCTCTGTAGGACTCTGGACAACAATGCACATTTCTGTCTAAATCCTAAAACTTTTGTTTTCTTTTATATTTAATACGCCTTTACACTTTTCTGTGAAAATATGACAAAAAATATCTGGAGAATATGTTAAACCCGGATTAAAACAAGCATGAAAGTTTAAAATATGAACAAGTCAAATTAATAAAGAATAAACCAAAAATGTATGTTTAACAAGTTCCATATTTGTGAGGCGACAGCAGTAATGTAGTAAAAACATAATTGAAAACAACAGCAAAATCCATTACATTTTGACAAAATATATATTTTTTTTGGTTTTATTGCAAAATGTGCAGGTTGAAGACATAAACTGCCCACTCAATGCCCAAAATGACAGTTTCTGAAGTTTTAAAAATGGAAAATCTTGTATTAAAGTAATGCCTGTTTTTGCCAAAATCTCACTCGGCACATTTGCGTATTAGGGAGGGGAAAACCTGTAGTTAATTTGTGTAGAATCAGATTAAGGCAGGTAAATGTGTACATTTGCCGTAACGCCAAAAACTCTAATAGATAATGTACGCTATGTTTTGCATTGTTGTTTTTTATTTTCAAAGTAACAGTTTTCTCAATCACAAAGGCATTGAAATATCCCCTGAATGAAACAAGGATTGCCATTATTACAATAATCAGAGGAAAGCTGAGCAGCGTGAACAGGCTGAGAGAGAAGCTGAAGGTAGAAGTCTTATTTCAGTGCTTTAAGTGGCAGTACGCAGTACAACCACTTCGTAATTGTAGCCCTCAGCATACCGGGCTGCATACTGGGGTGCCTCCAAAAGGAAAGTAAAAATGCCTGTGACATATTTTCAGCTAAAAGGTAAGCTCAGCCATTTGGGGGTCTACCAAAATACTGTGTAGTGCCTCCCATCCGGAAATAAACAATAACCTATCAGTATTAATGTTTAGGAAAAAAAGCAGCAATAAAAAAGGGGACAAAATAGAGTCTTAAAAAAAAAACATTTAACTAGTTGTACACCAAGCATTAGTAGTTCCACAAAAGATTAATACGTTTTATCAGTCATTAAGAACAATTAACCAATACAACAGATTTTAAGAATGAGGAAAAATGAGGAAATAAATAAAGTAGAATGACTAAAATCCCGCATTGGGGAGTACAATAGAGAGCTAGTACTCATCTAATAAGCATACTAAGAATAAAGTATTATTCGCAAAGGATAAACATTATCGGTAATTATTAGGTGACATTTTTGTTATTTGTGATGATTTTGTAAATGTAATATTAAGGACAGGAATTTAAATTAAGGACTAATTAAGGAATTCAACTATCAACTGCTTTCTTCACCGTCTTCATTAAAACTACCATTACATACAACATCAATTTTTTTTCTGCTTTAAATATGGGTTAAGCAAAGTTATTGCCCGTTTCCCTTCCTTGTCTTCCCGATCACCAAAAGTGCTGTCTTTCAACCCTTTTGTAATCTGTGAATAATTCAAAACTATCATGTAAATTAAAATGACTTCATATTGTTATCAGCTATGTATTGTTTTTAAGGATAAACTTAAGATCTATGCAAGCCCCCTACATTTCACATTTAAATCAAGCCTAAAACAGTCTCTGAAGCTCAATTATCTGATACTAGACTACGAAGCCAAACGGTATCAAAAATGCTGTGAAGCACTCAATGCTGTAAATGCAGTGGAAAAAAGTTTAGTAAAAGTGTTGATAAGAATAGGTTTTTAAAGCTAAAGAATAATCCCATTCAAACATTCTTCAGCATTCTTAGTTTTCCAATATACTGTGACATGTTAAGGCGGGCACACACTGTACTATATTTTCAATCTTTGTACTCAGCTACAGCTCAGACTGTAGGAACAAAATGTTTCATTTTTGTTTCCTACAACGAAACCAGGTTCATCAGTTCACATCTCATGATGTATGTTCTTACACTGTTCTACCAAATGCTCCGATTTGAACTAACTGTTTACAACGTACGTCCAAAAACCACACCTCTGACTGAGTGCCGAAAGATGGCCCTGTACGGATAGGTCAATCTGGAAGAAGAAAGAGAATTCACCTGTTTGCGCATGCGCAGTTCATGAGGCTCATGTAAATCGGCTTGTAGACGCTCGTAGCTCTGCTTCAACAGCAGGATATGCCCACGAAAACCTCATGAGGGCCGACTGATTTTCAAACATTTGATTTTCTCCCGACCTTAAGATTCCTTATGGAGAGTTTACCTCTCGTTACCCCCTGGTATACTACCCAATGCAGGACGCACGGTGAGGCTGAAAGTGGACCTGATATGAGTTTCTCACAAAACTGGAGAATCAGCTCAAAAAAGGCAAAAACTTGTACCGAATATAACCACCTTTATATAAAACAACTGCAAGTTGCTGCCCAGTAATTCAGCATGCCTCAGATCATTTACTTAAGTATTTCATTAAGGTTTATTGCTGTTTTCTACTGGGAAAAAGTTGACCTGACACAGCCCCTTCCATAGCTTTCATAATGTTTACTCCTAATTACTCTATAGAGAGAGCAGCAGCCAATCTCAGCTGATGTTATAGTATATAAGACCTGGGGTACACCTGAGAATGCAGGGGGAGGAGATGTTTTATCCTCGACCGCATGTCTTTGGGTTCCTGAAGGACTCTCAATATTAAAATTATTGAGAAAGGAACATGAAAATTGTAGAACGCTTCATAACAGATGTACACTTAAAGTTGTTTAGATATTATTTAAAGGAAAAAAGGGTAGAACTTCTATCTATAGAGGAGAACATGTCTTAAAGGTATCTTAAAGATCAAGGTATACCTCACTAACTGCTTTGACTTAGCTGAACAAGTGTGAAACACAGTCTAAAAGGGAAAAACATGATTGAAAAAATAATATTATGAAGAAATCTCTAACAGGAGAATTTCTAAAAAAAACTAAACAAGAAAAAGTTAGTAAATGAACTATGAATAAATTTCAAAGAAAAAAATGTGACAGTGTAAAGTATTTATTGAACTATACATCATTTATGTTAGCAGGCTTTCCAACGGCAGTTTGTGGAGTCTCTTTAGAGGTCTGTCTGCATGATGAACTAACTCTGGCAGGCACTCAGACATGGAGGTCATTATATATAATGTCGGAGGAAAGCAACCACGGCACTCAGGGGATATGTGCTGTCCCTACACGTGTCACAATGTTAATTCACTTCCATCAAAGGCTTCCTGACAAGGCGGGACAGTACATTTGGGTTTCTATAAACATAACGTCCCAAGGCCTGCCAGGGAACAACATTTCATAGGAAACGTTCAGCACAGAAAAGACAAAAAGACTCGAGACTTCACACAGGAAACAGTGGCATTAGCGTCCACTTTAGTATCCATTAGGAGGTAAATATTGCCATCGAATCTCAGTGACTAACAGCGGGTAAAAGCACTTAGGTAACACAATGTTAATGGCAGCATTGTTTGTGTTTGGAACAAGGTCTATTACTGCGGACTTATTTGGCAATTTTCTCATCCAAATAGTAAGGATGGACAACAAATTGGAAAATATTAGAGAATCATCTGAATACTAGCAAACAGACTCAAGTTCATCATCATCTGAAAACAAGATTCAGTTTAATGGACATATTCTCCCTGTTTCAAAGCATTACTTTCACTCAAAACTAAGAACAGAAAAATCTATGTGTGTGAGATGGACCATGAAACATGGTCTGGGCTGTGTTTGCATGATGGTATGATAGCGCCACAAACATGAAGAGAGCTCACAGCTATGATAGTTTATGATGGAGCAGTTGTATAAGGGTGAAGATTTTTCTTATTCATATTCCAATGACAAATGAAATGGTGAAAAACAGAGAAAAGTTCTGCAGAGAAGGCGAGTGGGCCTGAACTATACCCATTTAAGCCACTGGCTATGGAGAGCCAGGCTTCCCTAATTTCATCCCAAGGAATCCAACCATAGAATGCACACAGGTCTGAGTGTTTACTTGGTGTTACCGTTTAATAGGTTATACAAAAGTGGGTCGACATTTAGACTGCTCCAACTTGCTACTGAGGGATAATGTAGATGGAGCTGCTTTTATATTGCACATTGAAAGAGTCTACTTATCTCAGTTTTTCTAGGTGATCTCACTATGACGGTAAAATAACAGCCGTATGTCAGATGCAGTACATTTCTTAATCTGAAGGAGGGTACCAAACAGACAGTTTTAGGAACAAAAGCAGGATTACAAGATGCAGTAAATGTTCAAAACATGCCTGGGACGTGTAGACAACATTATAAGATGTCAATTTGTACAGTTTTTAGTTAAAAAGTAGATCATTTGAGGTGAGCTTTACTTGTGGGAGGGGTGAGACTGCTGAAGGATGCAAGAGTTCAAACCCAGTTGGTTCAAACCCCAACTCCAGCTTTCTCCGTCATTGTATCCT